AAAGTATTAATGCTGACCATGTTTGTACACAATAGGGATGCACCGGTACAAGTACAAGTACAGATACTTTTCAAGCTCCAAGACTAGACTAGACTAACTAAGTTAGAAGGCAACTGTCATTTGTAAGGTGCACACAGAGCTCCTGGGATTTGGACATCTCTCTTTTAATATATGATTTTGTTTTTATAAATATAAATAAAGGGATGCACCGATACCAGTTTTCCAAGTACAGCTTTTCTAAAACAATACAGGAGCGCCAGAGCCAGGTCCCAGCTGCAACCGCTGCAACTCGGGTAGTTCTCATGAAAATGCCAAGTATCGGCAGTGGTATCTGAACTGGTATCGGTGCATCCCTAGTACACAACTATAATTAGTACATTGTGTGTCTAGCCAATCTTTTGTAAAAGAACAAGCCAGCCCTGCAGATATTCCTCCTAAATCCAACATACACATACCCTAGTGCAGTAATGACTAACGTTTTTGAATTCGAGTGTCCAAACTGCAATGCAAAATCAATTTATTTATCCCAAAGTGTCAACATTGAAAATAAGTTTGGTATTGTGTTGCAGCGTGGGCACTGGGGTTTAAAAAATGTTCAGTATCACTGCCTTAGGTAAAATAGCAGACACACATATCCAAACATTTATACACTAACAGATACAAACATAATCGCAGACATATAATCATACATTCATAAACACACATATATCACACGCTCATAATACACACACACATCACACACATATCACCCTCACTCATAAAAACACACACATCACACACTCAATAAAACATCACACACGTAATGAAATATACACATATTACACACATTCATAAAAACACACACATCACACATATATATCATACACACAATAAAACACCCACATCACACGTAATGAAACACACACCACACACATATCACACACTCATTAAAAAAATACACACATCACACACGCATTAAAACACACACATCGAACGCATACCACATTAATGAAACACACACACATCAGACACCCATTAAACACACCCATCACACATATCACACGCACATTTAAAAAACACACACATTACAAAATACAAATATCACACACTTAGGGGTCTATTCACGAAGCTGCCGAAGGATCTGTCCATAGCTTCGGCATTCAGTCATTCACTCGGCTGCCCTCGGCAGCTTAGTGAATAGACCCCTATGTCTCTTTTTGCTCTTTTTTAATTTGATGCTGGTGCCCATAATCTGAGAGGATCATTCTGTTATTATAATTACTGGCTTCCCTCCACTTTATAAGAAGGGAAATGGGGTTGGAGACTTGCTCTGTGGGTCCACAACCCCAGCTGGCACCCATGATCTGAGAGGATCCATTTGTTATTATAATTACAGGCTTCCCTCCCCTTAATAAGAAGGGAAACGTGGTTTGAGACCTGCTCTGTGGGTCCACAACCCCAGGTGAGTACCCCTTTGTTATCTGTACTCACTGGGTGTAGGTGAAGGTCAGATATGATTCTGTGACAACTGCTTTATACACCTGGAAGTCTGGTTCATCTCTGCGGACTGCCTTCTGTGTCTTCCTGCACGTTCATTGATTTCTGCGCCTTGGATTTTATTACACATTGGACTTCATTATTTGAAATATTTTAGATTCTAGTCATATGTTGTTCATGCTTATTGGAATATTTGAGCAAATTTTTTGGATTTCTCAATGTTAAAATTTGTTTTCAGCTCGGCACATTACTGTTGAATACTACTACAATGCTTTACAGGAAAAATCTGAAGATAAAGACAGAAAGTCCACTCAAATTATCTTAATCTGTGGATTATACAATCCAGTATAGCCAGGCTTATCAACAAGAGCTTCTGCCTAGGTTACAACCCTTTACCACATAAGTCTGTGCTATGCAACCCTATTGTAACTGTAGTGTCTGAAATAATATACACACCATTCTGCTATTCAGAGTCAAGGCTACTCAGGATTCTTGCCAGTACAGGGAGCCAGCTAGCAGGGCAGCCAGTTGCACAAAATGAATACCAGGATATAAATGTGTGTGTAATTCAAAAGGAAGCCTGATTATCTGGAGTTAGTCTAGTTTCAGGGCAACCTAAGCCAACGATTTTGATCCAAAGCATCTAAAATTGTCTGGACGTTGTGAATAAAATAAGAATTCATTGGGTACTGAACTTCGATACCAAGGTGCTTAAAAGACGGAACTACCTTTAAGAAGTACAGACGACTGTGTCTGTGGATGAAGGGGACAAATTACATTCATGTAAAATTCTGAACTGGAACTAAACACTTCAATGTCAGTAATGCAGGAATGCACCTACTCAAATAAGACACATATATCAAGGTGTCATCCGGATAAAGGAATATCATGTCCTCCAAATCATACAACCTACTAAAGAATTAGTCTCAATACAACATTTTCAAATCTGGCTGCATTGCCTTCAAGTCAAAGCTACATGCTGCTTTGGGAAATAATTAAGTAATTGGGCATTAAGCATTTCAGGAGGCTATACAGCTTGACTAGAAACCTGCAAAAGCAACTTGGCAAAAGCAACTTTGTGGTCATTAAATGGAAGTGTTGTTTCTATTCTTTCAGTTTAATTGGGCTGGGGTCTCTTTTGTCATACTCAAAGCAAGCAAGCCTTGGTGGCCCTTTTAGTGATATATTTCAATTCATTATGTGATTTTCCTTTCTATTCTACTAATGTCAAGTACCTGCAATGTATTTGTACTTTGCTAGTAGCATACCCCTGAGAATGAACTCCTAGATATTTCCTATTAAGCACTCAGAAAGGTTAGGGAGAGCTGGATAAAAGGAAATAGAATTCCTACACAAAACAAACAGTAAACACTCCAAGTCTGGAGGATGAAAAAAACAAGAAAATCCAACTAATAGTTTTATCATGAATTTTAGTTTGCGGGTTTTTTTTATAAAGAGCAACCTGCTTCTAAGACTGGCATGGCTTGAACGGGTACTGGGTCCCACCACGATCTTTACCAAATGCTAACAGCGACACATGTACAGTAGTTTGAATCCTTCACGCTTCTTCAGAGAAGACCAAGATATCAGGACTTGCTTGAGGTGCAGAAACAAAGAGCTCTAGCTCTACAGGAACAGCCCAAATAACTGTAAACAATATTTGAAATTGGGAGTATTGCTGGCTTGTACTGAGCACACTTTATAAAATCTAGGTCGCTAGCATACTGTTTTTTTGAAGTTCATTTGTACTGAAAGCAGAAAATTTGAAATTATACAAGAACATGTAATAAATTGTGGTCTTAGCTGTCAGGGGCTAGCTGCACCACTGTGTGTAGTGATTGTACAAGCCCTACAGCTATTCTGTGTATCATGTTCAATCCCTTTGGTGATCATAAATACCACTAGTAAGCTTATTAGCACTGCAATCATTTTTCTGTCCTGTGCATTTGCCAGAACGATGTGCTTTGGAAGTTTATTATTGTGGGCATTGGTGTTTATAGTAATTTTGCAATACATTTGTATAATATGTTATGCAAAAATAATGCTAAATAAACACTTTATACAGATATCTACAATGTCAGTAAACAACTACAACATTACTCTCACGTACACCCTTTCTGTGTGGCAAAGGGGAGGTGACAAGCCTTAGCGACACACCAGGAGAACACAAATATGTAAACGGTAGAATTAAAAATATGTTAGGAATGCCTTTGTCGGATTTTATAACTCTGGCTAGTTAGCATTCAGAATAAAAGCAAAGATGCGGGAGGCCAAAGAAGACAGGAATTCTAAGTGGGAGCAGGTTATTAGTGAATACAAAGATTTATCTCGCGATTAAATCATTGTGGCATAAAGGAAAGCTGAAAAAACAAACTTGTGTTCATGCACCTCAGGGATACAAGAAAAAATAAATAAATCAATAAATAAATCAATAAATAAGCAAAAACATAAAATAACAGCACAAGCTGACAGCAGTAGGATTTAACAATTGATAGCACTACTAAGTCAGTATTAAAGGTCTGAATGGATAATTCCAGGATTTTCCCCACTGTTCTCAAATCAATAATGTGTTAGTTGAAAAAACAGAATATATTTGAAAACCTTTTTGTAGGGGAATACTCCATTCAGCTTCATGAGGAGAGACTGTCTTCTGTGAATGGGTTTAAATATTTCAGTGTAATGTTTAGAAGTAAACAAACCAAAGTGACAATGGCCAGCAGCCTGGGTCAATAATTAAAGGTGTGCAGGCACTGTACTGCTGGCTAATATAAATATGCATTTTTAGTTTTTTAGACCAGGTAGTGTTGTGCAAGCCAGGTTACAACATGTTCATGGCCCCACAGAGAGAAAGAAATTAGGAAGCAGAATGGCCATTGAAGGCCAGATTAAAGCAAGCAGCAGGGCTCAGTATACAATCTGTACCCCGTACTGCTGTCCAGCACAGCCCTGCGCTATGCATTTTGATAGCAAATTGCAAGCACTCGTTGGTCAGGTGAGCACGCTGACCACCAATGAGAAGCGCTTCTTAGCACAGGTAAATACAGTTTTGATGAAAGCTATTTTTTGTATCAGGACAAGTAGATTGGGCCCCCCGGTTTAGCCCTTTGCCATGTAGTTTTTTTAAATTTCCACACCCCTGGAGAGGCTGGTAGAAATAACAATAAAATGAATCTGTTGCTTAGAGTTGTCGTAAGCAAAGCACAGGTTCATAAAGAAACCATTGAAAAGTGAAATAGCTGTAGATTATTAACTCCCTGTGTAAAGAAAGCAGCAGTAACACCATTTCATAATTACTTTCTATGTATTATAAATAACAGTACGCTCCCAGGATAATAATTCTACACTTTGCTTTGATTCATATTATTTATTAAACTACTACTCCTAAGATTGACGTGCTTCTATATGAAATATAAATTATAAAGCAACACCTGAAGCATAAATAGTTGTGAAATATAACATACATACATAACAGAAAGGGCTAAAATACTGGACTGTTGTCACAGTTGTGCAGAACTTCATCTTACCTTGTGTACATTTGGCTTAATGCAGCGAACAAAGAACGGATTTGATGTGCTCAGTTTTGCCATTAAGGAATGCAGCGAATCCTAGAATATCAATGAATAATCTTTAACTAAACATGGCAGAATTTACCACATTGTTTTTTTAAACTGTCAATAGGTGGAATTATCTGACTGGTTTTCTCATATTGCCCTCTAGTGGCTAAAAGGTGTTGGGAATATGGGAAAGAAAAGTATGACAACTCTGCAGACAAAATCAAAGTAAAACTCCAGCCTACACTTAGGAGACTACTTTCCTAGAGTTGCTATGTTGGCACAATACCACATTATATCCTTATGAGCATACGATAACAGACATTGTACAACATTAATTGGCTGTTCAAATTGTATGTTCCTGCTGCATACTTACTATGCCTGTAATGTTTATATTAAAAAACACAGATCTTAGCAGTGGCATTGGGTTTCAACTGGTAAAAAATGGTTATTAAAGGTAAAAAATATTTAGACACAGGATATTCTTGAGGTATAGGATTTAGGTTTCATATTTTAAGACATACCAAGTGAATTTCAAGTATTACAACTGCATGAATGTGCAGAATTAGGATACAAAAGGGTGTTCCAACAGTGGGGACATAGTATTACACCACAATATAATATAGTATATATATTTCATATACTGCATTAGGTTTGTGGAATACACCCCACATATACAGACATCCCAACCTGAAAAAACTCATTTTGGGGAGGTGCCCCTCTCATTGGGGGAAAGGTATTCTCTCCCCCCAACCCCCCCCCGATTTGCTGGGGAAAGGGGGGGATGGGGGAGAGGGCACCTCCCTGAAATGATGGCAGATAGCAGAGCAGCTAATGCTTCCCATGCTATCTGTTGTTTTTTTTTCCTTTCTGACAGCGGCTTCCATCAGAATAATAAAACAAAACAACAAATAGCAGGGGAATGAATAGCTAGGCTGCTATTGGCCATTTCAAATTGAAATAGCCAATAGCAGGCTGGCTATTGCACCCACCCACTGCTGCTGTCAATTAGCAGAGGAGGACCTGAAGGAGAACATCTGATGGCTGCCGTCAGAATAGGAATAAAAAAAAACAGTAGATAGCAGGAAAGGTTAACTCTGCTAGATAGAGCAGAGCAAACTTTTCTGGGATAAAATGTTTCTCTCCCGGGCGCCAGGGAGCCGTTATCTTACAGTGGGAGACTCCCGGAATGTACAGAACAGTTGGGATGTCTCCGTATGTATGGGGTAAACAATAATTATAGAGAGTTCAACAGGGGACAATATGAGGGTAGGGGTGGCTTGGGAGGCACAGATGGGCCCATCCTATTGCTCACCCCAATGTGGGCCAAGTTGTTTGCCAACTCATCAACCAGGAAATCACGCATGCCCCAGTAGGAAGGTGTGACAGTAGAATTAACCTGAATAAAATATGAGGATTTTGTATTCTAGGGAGTAAGTAAAATGTTTCCAGCAGTACCCCATACTAGTGAACTTATTCAGTGTATCTTGCTTGGCAAGCATTAAAGTGACATTAAACCCTCAGATTTTTTAACATAAAACAATACTGTAATGTGTGCCTTACTGTAATCCATGGTTGTTTCCCTTCTCTTTGCTGCTCTTCCTTTTAAATCTGTATCTGTTCTCATGCTCTGCAGAACTTCTGTTTTGCAGCAGACAGCCTTGTCTCTGAAATGTGTACACAGTGTCTGTGCATAAGTTTGTATAGGCTTGTAACCAGAGCCAGCACTACAGGAAGAGGCCCTGAGCTGAAAAAGGAAGTTCTCTCCCAGCATGAGAAGACATGAGGATTTAAAAGGAAGAGCAGCAAAGAGAAGGGAAACTACCATGGATTACAGTAAGGCACACATTACAGTATTGGTTTATGTTAAAAAATCTGAGGGTTTAATGTCACTTTAATTCTTCTATCTCCAAAATATGATCATCTTGGTTTATCTATTCTGTCACATAGGGGTGTGAGGTGACCTTCAGTGCCTCTGGATCACTGCATGTTTTGCATTTATTAGATGTCTGTGTTGGAATTAAATATTTTAAACAACCCTGCAAAATCTGAGATCACTAAAGCCCTTCTCCTTTCTATATTCAGGTCCTGTAAATTGACTGTACTGAACTACAAAAAAAAGCTGAGCTGTGTTTGGTTAATGTAGTTCAAGATTGCTCTCCATCTGCTATCAATAATGTCTTGGCATGGATCATAAAAGCTTTCAGCTTCCATTGTATGCTACACACCTTAAACTGTAGGCTGACTGTAAGTTTCCTGTGCTTGCTTCCAGACTTCAATGTGTCTTGATTATTCCGACTTGAAACGTGTTCAAAGAGATCATATATGAAATCAAGCCTAAATAAAGAAGTAAAAAGAATCATACAATTGATCATGTTTGCTGTTTACAAATCATTATAGCAACTCACTAGGAAAATGGTATGTTTGGTTCTCTATAAAAAAAAAAAGGCAACAAATCATAGACCACATATAACATGAATGTGAACCTGTGGCTAAAATTCACACTTCACATAATCATTTGTGCACATTTGGGAGCAATAAAATAATCACACTGCAGTTTTTAAGTGACACAAAACTAAGGAGTTAAATCTTAAAAGTGCATTTAAGTGCCTTATTATTAACAAAAATGTATCTTGTTTGTGCATCACTCGGCTGTAGAACCTCAAATGATCTCTCAATTGTTGCTGACACTGTCCTTCCTTCTGGAGGGTGGCTACTTTTTGTTCCCCATTTTCCCTGTGTGTGTTGTAAAGTAGCCACCATTCCAAGCTCCCTCCTGTGATGGACTATAAACTCACATTGAGTTTACTCATTTTTATTGAAGTTGTAGTCTAACACGGGAGTGAGCTTGGAGCGGGGGCTACTTTACAACACACACAGGGACCACGGGGAACAAAAGAAGACAACCTCCAAAAGGAAAGACAGTGTCAGCACCAATTCAGAAATTAATTCAGGATCTACAGCTGAGTGATGCACACATTAGATACATTTTTGATAAAAGTTAGGGTGCTTGAATGCATTTTTACGAATTAACTACTGAGTTTACTGTCACTTTAAACAAACTGTGCTTATTTGTTTACTTCAAATATCCAATGGAGTAGAGGAGAGTAATAAAAATAGAAAAATAGAAATTTCCACGGGACATAATTCGATGGTTGAATACAGTTTCACTGGGCTAAATATTTCTACTTCATTAGTAAAACAACCACATGATCTCCTGTTTTCAATCAGCAATGAGATATGATGGTTCTATGTATAGAAAATGACAAACCATACATACAACAAGGTTTGATTACATGGACACAAATAGATTTGTTTATTTATGTATAGTCTAAACAAACCTAGATGGATGGAAACACAAAATGTGTCACTGCTAACATCCTTCTGAAGCTGCTAGTATTCTCGCTGTCTCGGATTTCAATAGTTTCTAATTCACTGACCCAGGGATCCCGACCTGAAATAAGTTATTTCAGGGGGAGGTGCCCTTCTCATTTCAGGGAGGTGCCCTCTGTCTGTTTTTTTCTGACTGATGGCGGCCGGTGGCCTTGATGTCAGGAAAACAAGAAAACAGACAGCACGGAAAGGCTTACTCTGCTGGATAAAGCTGAATAAACCTTTCCGGGAGAAATTGTTTCTCTCCGGGTGTCTGGGAGCCGCTATTTAATAGTGGGAGACTCCTGGAACATCAGGGAGAGTTGAGATGTCTGCTGACCCAGGACAAGCAAGCAGATTAGAAAGCCAGCGTGCAGTTTGTAATCCTGATCTGCATACCTGTTCCAGGTCATTGGCTAACATGATACAGATGGTACTGAGTTAACATGGCAATCAGGCAACTTGCATGTTCAGAAGGAGAAGTGTAACAATAGCACCTTCCTACTTTCTCAGTACAGGTTCCCTTCAAGATGACTGATGCTGATTTCCTGAAGGAATAGATACTGTCCATTTAGCAAATGGAATGTTCACTAAGCTTTTTAAACAAACGGAAGATGTGTTTATTTTAGTCTTCCAATCATGTTCAAGAACACCTCAGAAAGTAGACGTGAGAAAATGCTTGTTGCTTTAGGGTTTATTCACCAGAGCAGAGATCAGCGAACAGATGCTCATTGATCTACCCTCACTCTAACTTTGTAGCAGTACTATGCAGTTTTTTTTTTCAACACTGAAAAATGTGGCACCGAAAAAAGTAACACAAAAACTAGTGAAAATGAAAAAATAAATAAATATTATTGGTAAATAAAAAATATAAGATAATAAAAAACATCAGCAGAAAAATAATAGCTAGGGATGAAATTAGGGCTGATTAGGGTCAAAGTAGCATTATACTCTCAAAACGTTTTTTCAATAATGACTCCAGATCAAACACTTACAGTGTCCAGCAAAGTGTTTCTTTACATCTCTATCTGAGCACTTACAATCATCATGTTAACAAACAACTTCAACTCTCTCAGCTCTGCTTCCCTGAACTTCCTGTCAGGTACAAGGCCACAAGGGAGAGCACAATCTCCAGCAGCTGTCCATCTACTAGCTTGCAGAAGGAAGGAGAGGTGGACAGGGGGGAGGGGAGTGGCTAGCCTTGCTGTGTGTTTGTGGAGGCACACACAGCTTATTAGCACACACAAAAGTGGTAAGGAGCCACACTAAAACAGGATATCAGTGGACCAGCTGATTCTCCAGGAAAACATTTAAGCATATAGGAAGCCTTACCCCTTTATTCAGCATTTGAAATTGCTTGAAAACCTTTTGACTTCAGTATCACTTAATAGAGGTATCAGTTAATAGAGGTTAAATCTGAAAAGAATGGGTGCTTTTTAATCAAGAAATGGTATCCACAGTAACATTGCAATTACTTATGAGTTAAATGAATATATTTTCAACTAGGAGTTGACCTGACTTCCTTTGTGAAAACAAAAGGAATGTTCTTTCTCCCTCAGGAGCAAAATTGGCCACAGTTGCCGAAAGAGGTTTGTGTTACTTTCATCTTAACTAAAACTGCTGGAGTTTATGAGAGTTTGAACTTGATGGAAATGTGTCATTTTCACCTTAGTAACACTCTATAAATGTGTGAACAAGCACAGAACATAACATACCAGATTGGTAATATGCGGACACAAGTAGAACTGCTGATGTTTTCTATACAAAAAATATTTAGTTGAAGCCTAATTTAAAAGAGACATTAATTGGAGTCCCACATGAGCAAAAGCATTCTGTGGCTGAACACTCATGATTTAAATGTACAACTGACACCTTTATCTATGACACTAATGAATGTGTTTTATAGATATCCTCTGAGGTTCTAACACAGGAGTAGGCAGCATCAGCACTCCAACTGTTCTGGAACTACAAGTCCTATGATGTACCACAAGACGCTGTCACAGGCATGGCTCCCGGTGGCAGAGACTTGATGGCATTTGTATTTTGACCACAGCTGTATGCCAAGGTTGCTTACCCCTGTTCTAACACTACACAGGCAGCATTTTTTTTTTAACTGGCCAGCGACTAATATATTAATTCTGGATGCTAGACTGTAAGCCTCAATTTCTATTAGAAATGATTAAGTAATCTTTTCAGATTTTCCCTACATTTCCCCTGCTGCCACAAGATGGCAGGATTGCTATTAGGTGACAGACAAGTAGGACAAGACACACTGAACAATGAATTGACAAGCACAAAAAAACTTCTCATTCTCCGATTTTGATGGAACATAAAAAAAAACTTACATTCTAGCTATTAGATGATGTTGAATAAGAAAAATTGGGACTTTTATAGAATGCAGCAGAATCTGGACGGGTCTGTAATATTGGCACAAATATATGTCCATTCCGATGTGCTGTGGACAAATTTTAGCCCACCAGTGCTGAGTGAAATGTAAAGGATGTCATTGCTGACCTTTCTGAAAATGCTAGTCAATATCCCAATATAAGCATGTACCAAGTGACGTTTTAGCAACTGGTCTGCATAAATATTCTGGATGAGTGTCTTACAAAGTACGGAAACCATTTGATAAGCGTGATTGGTAGACAACTAGTGTTTTCAGAATAAGACCTTTTAGCTCAGCTTTATACGCTCAGGTTGGGTTTCTAGACCCAATCAGATAACCAAATGGTACACATAACCCAATCAGATTTGGTTACCATTAAGGTAGCCAAATCTGGTCAGCCCAGATTAACTATATCACTGTATATCCTTGAGGAAAAGACCTTGTGTGGCCCCAAATAGTTTGCTGTATGAAGTTATATGAAGTGCTGGTGACCTTTCTTTTCTTTGTGACTTGCAACTCAAGGTGCCATTGGTTGCTGTCACTACAAGCACCCTCCTTTATTGCTTTGGTCAGAACAATATATGGAGTGCAGTTTTTGGCTGTATTATCTGTAGATTAACTCTGACACATGCATTATGTACCATTTTCCATGAATAACTTGCAGGTATATCTAAAAGGGGTTGCAGTTTACTTTACCTGCTTTCACGCAATAAGTTAAGAAGGTCATCTCTGAAAGTGTCTCGGTTCTTCTCCAGGATACCCCTTACATCATATAAGACCTTTATATGAGAACAGAAGACATGATTGTAAAACAAGATAACCTTTCTTAAATGTCAGTGAGTGAAAAATACCACAAAATATGAATGTAACGGTGAATTACAAATAATCTGTCAGTATAAGACAGTCTTGTATGTATGATAGTAATTTGTACACTGCAGATAAACAACATAAAAAGATTACCTCTCCAGCATAGTGTTTTACACCAAAGTTGTGGACAGCAACTCTTGGCTTCACATAGAAAGGATTGTTCTGAAAAGAAATACATCAAGTATTAAAGTACGAGGGAAGAAAATGCTTAAAATTATCATAAATGTCAGTCTTTATTCAGAAAGCACTATGTAACATTGTTTTTTTTGAAACATGTATAAGAACACCCTGCACATGCCTTAGTTGTGATTGCCTAGTTAGTGTAGCTCCGTACGACGTACGTCCTTGGCAGCGAAAGGGTTAAACCCAAAAACAAAAATGTAATATACTGCAGTACATCAGTCATTATATGAGGTGCCTAAATTAGTTTTCTATTTTCAGGCTTTTTACTTTTATTCCTACCTGCCAGTAACACATTTCCTATCCAACACTCACTCACTGTAGTAAATTTATAGAGGAGCAGCATTATTCACCCTAGGCTGCTCTCCTCATTTGAAATACAAATACCTCCTCCTCTACTCATCTCCATTACATACTTTTACATTGTAAGCTCTCAGGAGCAGGGCCCTCCTTACCATCTTGTCTTGAATTGTATTGTGATTGTAATGTCTTCCTTATATTGTAAAGTGCTGTGCAAACTGTTGGCGCTATAAAAATCCTGTATAATAATAATAATAATAATAATAATAATAGGGAGAAGATGTTTTGAAGTTCACAGAAGATAGCTGGGAAAGCTTACATTATACCATTGGGATATGGGTTCAGTGTTTTTCCGTACTTGTAGAAAATGCAATTAGCCTGAAGAAAACAAATGTATCCTCCACATTTAAGGACTGGTAAGCTGCAATATTATTTGATAATAGGTTCCGTAGTGCAATAAGAACAGAGCCTTGATACACATAGATTGTCTGTTCTGATTAACCTTTACCCAGTTTTTCACAATCTTCATCCACTGGGATGGTAAGACTGCAAAAAGTAGCTTTTCAAAAGCCTTTTCTTTTAATTCCGCTTACTCTGCCAAACAAACCTCATTGTTACTGTGCACAAAGGCACAGACATACTGTAGTATGTATGCATGCAGCGTATTTAAAAACAGATCAAGCAAAGAGGCAAAGAAAACACCTACCGCATGCTGGGTATGCAACTTCTCCAATAAGGTGCTATCAGTAGCTCGAGGAAAGTAACTTTCTTCATTGATCAAAGCTAGCAAGCCAAGTTTCTAATACAAAAAAAATACAGACTTTTTATAGTTATTTTTATACTTTCATTAGTCTTACATTTATAAAATATGTTTGTAAGAATAGCCAACATTTCCAAATATAAATTCCAATATAATGAGAAAACAATATTTTAGATCAAGTTTCACTCTGTATTGGAGCTTTTTTTTAACCAGTCAATAGAAGCCGATTTGTGAAAATGTCAACACACGGGTGTTAATTTCAAATTGATCTACATGTTTTTTTGGGCGGAGGCACTACGAAGAAAGTAAAACCCCTGTGAGGTTTTTATTGTTGTCTGTGTCATTATTGAGAATGTCAATGTTAAAAGTCCATTGCGCACACCATCCTACTGACCTAAAAGAAGAGTGATGGGTGCATGGCTACAAAGGCACCATGTACCTAAGCATCATTTCACGCCTGTGTAGGACCCCTTTATCAATGTGATGGGACTGGATGTTGTTGGTTATGTCCATGCTGTTTACGTAAAGCTACAGCCTTTTGTATCTCTGAGCTTTGGTGTGGTCTGGTATCTTTTTAAACCTGTTGAGAAGATTTTCCCTCAGTTTCTGACCTAATAATAACAGAAAGAGGTTCTAACCTTTCCCCATTCCATAAGAAAAAAAACTACAAAAAATGATCTAGGCTGGAGTTTTAATTAATACATGTATCCTATATATCATCATCATGGTCAAGTATAGTAATATACTGTTCACACTTGTAAACATATTGTTTATTACCTCTTCGGGAAGATGAAACAGTGATTATCTGTTAAGATTATATTGCTCTAAAGCCAAGTTGTAACTTTGTATTTATTCATAAACGTATCCTTTTTTTTAATAGAATATGAAATATCAATTAATAGAAGAAAATGTGGAATATATGATCTTTTAGCCAATCAACTGTTTGACTGATTAAGGGTTTTGAATGTCTGTCAGATTTTATTGCCATCTGTACCTTCCTAGTGACACCCATCCTCCTAATTGCTTATCTTGGTGGCACAGGGATGCTTTTATCTGCAAGTTGTATTTTTTTATTACATTCTTTTTTAAAGACTTGGTTGTTTTTGTTGGGTATGATATCAACCTCTTTACATTCAAAGGGGTATTCTAAAGTTCTTTTTTACGACTACTGGCAGCCTGGCTGTCTTTCGGTTCAACTTTCTGACTCACTGACGTTGTGGAACAAGCATGCAGAAACAAAAAACAAAGTCTTTCACATATAAATTAATTAAAACCATTAGCATCATTGAATGTCACTTATTTTAGAAGAAAATACACATGATGAAATGCGTTTCCTTTTACAAAGTTTTTTTTTTTTTTTATAGGCTCTTAGAACTTAAATATTTTTCTGCAAATGCCATTAATAACGTTTTTATATAAAGGAGCTTTTGTTGTAGATTGTCCTGTTATTTCTACTATATCTGTGAAAAAACATAAAAATTGGCAATATTTTGTATATTGTGTATAAATATCTGACCTAATTGCTTAACTGTATACCTTTCCCTAGTTTTTTACCTTTCAATTTGTCCTGCGTTATCTGTTATGTATGAAGTATATCCGCTAATACCAAAGCCCCTTCTATGTGTTGGTGGAGCATGCGTCAGAGCTGTTTCAGTAAAATTATACAAGCTAAACATGTTTCAGGTCAAACTGTGATCTTACCTTTTCTATCAAATCCAAGCATTCTCCATTATCGGTCCAGTCTATGGCTTCCCACACTAGACCCTCTCTAAGAGAAGCACACAGTACAAGTTAATATATATGAATGACCGGGAAGGAAATCTATGGTCTTCAAATTGATATAGATACATGAGTGAGTAGGGTCTAATGTAAATACTCCTCTTTATGTAAATATATTATTTAAAATCCTTGCTTCTGTGTAAGAACATTACTTTTGTACATTGCATCAGCCATTAAAGCTCTTTATGTATGCAGGCTGTAATAGTGCAAAACAGTGATGGTGCTTTATTGTTCTTTTCTATCAATGCATCCCAATTAGTCATCTCAGACTGAAAGAAACCAGATTATCTCCCACTCATGCCAGCAGCCAATCAGGATGACTGTGGAACTTGATATGCAGATAAGACACTAGGGGATGAATCTAAATCTCTGTATATTAAATAGAATCATGAAAAATATGGGACGGCAAGCAAATAAAAACATTAAATCCAACTTAAACTATATCGTGAAATAAAATGCACTACGGTTTCCCTTTAAATTAGCAAAGCTTTGACAATACAATTGAACATAAATCTAGTCACTTAAGCAGCATAATTTGACAAAACTTGATTTGTGTTCCTTAGATTAAAATAATTTATGATTTAACCAGTTACAGATTTTGTGCATACAGTGTACTTCCCACAAAATGTTATCACAGTATGGTGGGTATACGCTGTACACCCTGGCCCTTCTATACTGCCAATGTTCCAGCACTATTACTAACAAGACTGATAATATACAGTACATATAACATCTTCACTTTTCTGAGTTCAATCAGTCTCATACTGGTGAAATTGCTTTTGATGTAATAAACCACATGCTCTTACCTACTGTACTCTAATTGCTCCAAAGAAAAAATGTGCTTATTAAAGTATTCCTGCAACTTCTCATTGGCATAGTTTATGCTGAATTGCTCAAAGCGATTGACCTATAACAGAGAAGAAACATAAAATAAATTCATAAGAAGTGACAATATTTCACTCATATTAACATGCATTATCTTCAAATACATGTAACTATAGCTATCCAACATGGCAAGTTAAACCAATTCCAAGTCTGCAAAGTATAATATCACTAATGATGATTGTAGAGAGTAAAAAGTTACAAATTATGATTGGAATTCATAAGGGAAAAAAAACGATATTAGCAAGCAAAAAAACTGTATTAGTGCTTTGATAGTTATCGTCACAGACAGTGGGACCAGGACGGGCATGATAGTGTGACCGTGATGATATAGTATGTATCACCCTATAACATCAGATGTGGGATTATTAGTTTCTGGTGTATTAAATGATATCTAATATACCCTATAAAAATTTGCATTTATCACTAATATCTTCTAACTTACTCTTAAGAGACCCCCTTTGACCTTAAAGCCATATTTCAGGCAAAATATAACCCCCCCTTTCCCCCCGCTCTGACCCATGCAAACCCATCCTGCAAGCTTTTTTTGGGTTGAAGCAAGATATACTCAACTAAGTTCCCTGTCCCCCTGTGACTGTTTCCAGGTGCATAGGACCGCTAATCCAGCACTGAAAATACCACCAGCCAACTCATACTATTATCACTCCTCTTCTGGATCTTGAGAGGAACCAAATAGGAAGCAAACTTCATAGAATCCCATCGCACTCCTAACCGGATACAACCGAAAACATATGGTGGGTGCTGTATTGACAGAGGTTCCACCGCAAATCAAGTACAAATTAAAAAATAGTCACCAGCACACCAAAGCAGATTCTGTCAAGTCTTCTTTATTGACAAAAAAAAAGGTCACAATGTGTAGCGATGTTTCGGAACCCTTTTGGTCCCTTCTGTTTGCCTGAAGAAGGAAATTAAATGATTCTGAAACGTCGCTACACATTGTAACATACCTTTCTTTTGTCAATAAAGAAGAATTTACAGAATTTGCTTTGGTGTGCTGGTGACTATTTTTTGAATTTGTACCCAATAGGAAGCATTCACGCCACCCAGGCATTCATGTGAACACCCAAAATAGGACCCTGCTGCATGTAAGCAAAGGAAGAGGGAAGACTGATGTGGATGATGTGGCTGTAGCTTTAGGTAGCTTTAGGTAAAATAAGCATTTAGATTAAGTTTTTTAATTTTTTTGCTCCAGTGATCAGTTAGAGGGAATGCGAGAAAGGACTGGAAGAAGCGTTAACAGTATCTCAGAGATAAGCTTTGAATAATAAAAATATGTCTACTGGATTGGGCTTTGTATGATACACATTATTGTGCAAAACATTTATTATTATTATTTGCAAGACCTTTATACTGTTATTCTGATTTTTCGCCATCTGTCAAAAGCACCTCAATGTGTACACATGCCATTAACTAGGAACCTTAAGTGATGAAGAACCTCTGAACTATATGATACTGAATGTCCATATGGCAACATGCATTGGCAGTGCAAATAAGGAAAGGTAAAGATACTGCCTTTGGCAGCCAATGAAGTGCTTGATGATGGCACGTTTCTCTAGCTTGTTTATAAAAAAAAAATGACAGATGGAATGTAACTGGCTGCTACCTTTCTTTCTTGCAGGTCCTACAAAAGAGACACAGTATGTTCAGAAAATACATAATTCCTGCATATATTAGACAGGGGAATGCAATCTATTTTGATGAGACATGCTGAGCTTTAAAAAATTAAAACCTCCACCACAGTGCTGCACCTAGCATGGGCACATGGTGGCTAAAATAATGACATTAGGACATGGCAATGTAGGACTCTTGCCTTACAATCTAAAAGCAAAATAGAAAGATACAAAAGGTTAGGGGAATTTGGCCAGAAAAGTTGTGCTGTAGAAAGAAGTTCATGAAAATGATGTGCTTTGGATCAAGACTGTTCGGTTTTCTAAAAAGGTGGAGTTTAAAGGTGTAGAGATTTACGGGCCAGTTCACAATAGCCACACTGTAAAATGCAGTGTTTAGTGCTGCAGCTAGTGTCCACTCAAGTGACAACAGTGAGCCCCTTAGGTTTTCTCTTATTTTACCTCTATTTGAAGTACACAAACTGCACACTCTATTAAGGTCCCCGCACAGCAGCGTGGTATTCTGTGTTGTGGTGACCTGCGTTGCTATCCAGTGCGCTGCAGAAAAATGCAGCAGATCTGCATTTTTTTGCAGCACGCTGCACTGCAGACCACAGCTATGTTGCAGTGTGAACAAGGCACATAGAAAACAACTGCTTTCTCTGTGCCCTCTGCACGAGTGTGAACAGGCATCAAGTAGGGAATTTCAGAAAAAGAAGAATCATTGAAAAAGTTCTACAGGCAGCCTGCAGTGGGAGGGCCTGCTGGAGTGATCACACAGCTCTGCTCTCTGTACAAGATATGTACAGCACTGTGATGATTTTACTGCTACTTTTCAAATGTTAGATATGGGTTTGCAAAGGCATCCTTCGTGGCTATTGAGGAAAACATTTGCAAGAAACTTTGCCTGGAGTTCAGCTTTAAAGTAGTATTAAGGTCTGAGCGTTTTTTACCTTAATGCATTCTTCACATTAGGGTAAAAACAGCCCAGCAACTCTTTTTTTATCCCAGCCCCCCCCAGTCTCCCCCACACTTACCTCTCAGCTGCGCTCGTCCCCGCCGCCGGTCCCGAAGCGATCCTCCGTACCCCGAACTTCCGGATTGAGGCGGAGGATACCGATGGCAGAGAAGCCATAGGCTCCTTCTGCCATCAATCAAAGAAGGAAGAGGCGTGGCACGCCACAGGGCTGTGTTTGTCTATGTATGCACACTGCCGCTGCGGGGACGAGTACGCACAGGTGCCTCCATTAGAAAGATGGTGGCACCTGTGCGGGGGGAAGAGCATGACGGGGACCCACTAGAAAACGAGGAATAAGGGTCTCCTTAAAGGAGAAATGAAAAAAAATGTAGCTTTAATAACACTTTAATCTCAAATACGCAATCTGTAACATGCATTACCTCAAAGTTTTCGAATCCGAAGATATCCAGAACGCCAATCGATTTAAAATCATCTTTTCCTTTTATCCGGCTATTAATCTTCTTTATTACCCAGGTAAAGCACTGTGAGTAGAGTGCCATGGCCATGGAATCTCTGCTATCTATAGCCTGAGGTGTAAAAATGGAAGAACAACATGTCAGTTTAATACCTGAAATACTTATTTTCCCAGTTAGATAAACTTAGAAGAAAACTGACAAATACATTTTAAAAGGGTATAAAAACATTTTTTTGTGTTAGAATGCAGATCAGGTATTGAGTTTAAGGATTAGGATACGTGTTAGGGAAAGCATGATTGTTAAATTGTTCACACTTTAACCTAATACATAAAAACTGCACTCCATACCACAACTACTTAAATGGGGACAGTTAATATTAGGTAACAGAATAGGTAATCGATTCTAGACCATAGCAGGTATTACAAAAATAGTCCACATAATTCCAGCACATAAAAGCCACGATTGAGATACCTTTATTTAAAAAAATAAAATATTAACATTCTGATAAAAGCAAGTCACTCCTGGTCTTCCTTTTTGTATTTTGGCTTGACTGGTATGTGTAAGGGTCCCCACACACCTTACGATTATCGTACGAGAATCGCGGGAAATCCCGCGATCGTACGATGATCGTAAGGTGTGTGGAAGCCGTGCGACCTCTACTACTGTAAGGTCGCACGACTTTAAACTTACGGACATGTTCGAAAAACCCGCCGAGCATCGTACGATGTTCGGCGGGTTTGTGGCATGTCCGTACGATAACAGCCGCACGGGCCGGTGTGCGCAAGCGCACACTGCCCGTTCGGCATTGCGGTCATCGGAAGCCCGCCCCTCAGGGGGCGTGGCTTGCGATCATCGCAAGTACGATCTGCCTATGCAACATAGGCAGATCGTACGTTTATTTAAGTACCTTACAACCATCGCAAGACAGAAGTCTTGCGATGGTTGTAAGGTGTGTGCCCAGCCTTAGGGTCTGCGGACCTTCAATCTAAAATTCTACAGTAACTCACTGTAAACCTCTCCCCCGTTGCTATTTGAAAAGGAATATTTTTTTTCCTGTTTGTTTCCTATCTTTAAATAGGCATGAATGACATGTCGTGCTCTCACAGTCTCCTAGGATATCCTCGCCCCATAACCTAGGAGTCTTCAGAAGAAGGGACACAGAGTGGCCAGTGGGAAGGAGCCGTGTGCGCCATTGGGGCCTGGCTGCCTGAACATGGAAGAGGCTGTCAGCTCCCGAAGACTAAGGAGATTCAAGCTGGTGTTAGGCCCTATTTTGGGTCATCTGAGTAGCGGTTTGCAACAGGACAATACTGGATTCACTGGGCAGGTGAGTATGTGAATTGAGGACGATACTGCACTAAAGGTAAAAAGGATTTTTAAAATCTGAGGGGGGAGGGGGCTAAGGTCCTCTTTAATTTTAGGTGTTAATGTGCAGGTTAAGACTTAGGGTTTATTTTAGAAGTCAGGTTAAGTGCAAAGGTTTAGGTAGTGGTTGGTTCAAAGTGACACTAAATTCAGGAGTAAAATCTTAAAAATACATTTAAGTATCTTAACTATTGCCAAAAATGTTTGTCAGCAAAAATTCAGAGATGATTTGAGGATCTACAGCCGAGTGATACACAAACAAGCTACATTTGTGTTAATAGTTAAGGTACTTGAATGCATCTTGAAGATTTAATTCCTGAGTTTAGTGTAACTTTAAGTATTATGGTGATCTGAACAATTAGAGATAGGTAAGAACTCATTAAGGTGAAAGCATAGTTTCAAAAAAGCATTTTTAGCAGAATAGTAAGTGCTCCGATTCCATTTTCATTTTGTTATTTCTACCACATTTTTCCTCTTTTAAACTTGACAAAAACATTTTCCGTTAATATTGAGAGCACTTTGCTGTGTACTTACCTGCTGTACGCTGAGTGGTGTGGAGATCTCTTCTCCCCTTAGAATCATGGACTTATGGGTCAGTGCTTCTGTTAGTTGCTCTGAGTCCAGCCCAAGCAACTCAGCAGTTCTCCCCAGCGCTAAAAACACAAAAAAAATTGATATAAAAATAATATTAAAAATACATAATTATATCCAGTTCACAGATAAGCAAGTTAAAATAAATAAGTTGGTATTGACATTTTACCTACAAGACCCATGCTACAAATATCAGCTTCACTTCTCACTGAGGAGGGTGGGGGGTGCAGTACTTTAGGTTTCTGGCATTCTCTGAGCAAATGTTAAAAATATATATTTTTAAATAATCACATTTATTTTACAAGCTAAACAGGTCGGTTCCTTTTGATCATATTAAAAATCACTATTTAGAAATAATATTACATTTCAACGTAAAGAGGATATTGTGATCTTGCCCGTACAGGGCAAAGTGACAGTGTTTTTCCAAACAACCCCACTTCTGTTATTCTCATCTTACCAGTGCTTCTTTGAAGCTCCAGCCTGTGCTGCAGCAGGCACTGAAATCTAAGGAGTAGAAAGTGCTCAGGACTAGCAATTGACTGCTGGAACCTAACAATGTTGCATGGAAAGGGATCACATCTTCCACCATACCTGGAATCTGCCTAAGGGGCCATTCCCTTACTTTGGAGGGTATGTTGAATGTATAATGCAAGGAATAAAGGGAAATCCCAATGGGACACAAAAAAACTGACAGGGGTTTTCACTAACCTCCAAAAAAAAAAAGGTTTCCGCTTTAGCTATATTTTAATGTCATACATACCAAAGTTACTACTACCACTCTCTGGTACACACATTATGTGCATTTCTTGTGTGCACTTCAGTGCGAAAGCTTACATCATTGTTTCATTTATCCTTACTTGGGAGACTCCAGTGGAAGTCTGTAGATGACTCAGCAGCATGGACTGAGTAGGCCGAACTTGCAAACATAATTGAGGCAAGAATCTCATTTGGTGATGCCAGATCTGCATCAGGTTCTCCACTGACAATAAAATGCAGTGTAATCCTTTATTATATATTCAGGTGAAGCTGATACATTTATTACAAGTACTATCTATGAGCATAGGAACTGGTACCTAAATGCGTATTTGAATATACTGAGGCTAAATACTTTGACCTCAGTTTATTTTTTTTCTACGGCTTTTCATTCTGGATGCTATTGCTTTGTGCTTTTCTGACTGATACAGTGATAAATTGGAACACTAGAGATTTGGGATACAGCACATGATTCACTCATTAAAGCAAAAACAGTAAACTTAAAATGGGAAGATGTGTGTTTACCTGTCTTTGTGCAGATTTGAGCACCTCCAGCAGTCATGAATTGTATGTTTCCCAGGTGCAAAATTCCAGCAAGCAACCTAAGAACTTCCCGCACATTCTCTGGGGTAAACTGCATAACTTTCATGGCTGTCTGCAAGCAAATGGAAACTTAAGTGTAATGCATGATACAAGACAGTTCCAAAAACAAAGTTGGCTTGCTTTTTTCATAATCTAACATCGGATTTACTTTTAAACATGTATAAAGCCTTTATGAGAAAATATTTAGTTGCAGAATAAAATATGTAAAGTAAAATTCACAACAAACTCTACCTACAATGTCATAATTATGGACTACAATTGTGAAATAGACGCAAAATGAATAGCTTTGTTTAAAGTGAACCAGTCAGCAAATCAAATGTGTTAATATCTAATTCTGGCCTAACAGCAGGTATCCAAGGGTTTACTTTATGCTAAATGTAAATCTTCAACTTCCCACTTCACCCACAACTGAACGGGGTGTACCACAGCTAGTGCCCTATAAAAATAAAAGTAATACTTTTGATTTTTTGAGAGGGTTCATACCTTTAATATCCATAATAAAAAATGCAAAGGCCTAAAGAAGGAATGTATGCAAGTCGATCTTGGTTAACATATTTTTTACACTTTTATGCTAATTAAAATATTTGAATGAATAAAGGAAACATATTAGTTTGTACCTAACATCTTTCTCTATTATGCCCAGGACTAAAAAAAAAATAATTAAAAAAATATAATATTTTGCTCTCTAGTTTTACACAAGCAGATAGAGCTTTAGGTAACTTGTTTTAAAGGCTATTAGTTTGCCCAGTGAAAATCCCTTATGGTATTGGAAGCTTTAATCGGTCAAATAGGGCCCTGCTATGCTTTCCTTTTAGTTGACCCACAGGGGTCTATTCATAAACAAGCATATAAGGAAATATCGCCAGCACACCAAAAGTCCAATGAAATCAGCAAGAGTCCATTAATTGAAAAAACGCCATTTAAAAACTTGCGCTTTCGGAGCCACACAGGGTCCCCTTCATCAGGCTTAGAATGACAACAGTGTTGGTTGTCGTTTTAAGCCTGATGAAGGGGACCTTGTGTGGCCCCAAAAGCGCTAGTTTTTGAATGGCGTTGTTTTTTCAATTAATGGACTCTTGCTGATTTCATTGGACTTTTGGTGTGCTGGCGATATTTCCTTATATGCTAGGCTTTGCATGGTGCCATCCTTGATCGCTGCAAGCACCCACCTGTTTTATCAGTTATCTCTATCCGGTAAGGAGTGCAACAAGATATTTGTTCTACATATTTATAAACAATTTGTAGGGCCATTCCCCTGTGAATATCTATGAACAGTCACTCTGTGTGAATATATGCCAAAACATACATCATTTACAGGGTTATTCACAAAAAGATGAAGAGTTTTGAGAAAGCAGGAGAAGTGAACAATCTAGGATAACATAGCTGAACTGAAAAGTGATCTGAATTTGAGAATTTTTCCAAATCAGCTATGTTGTCCTAGATTGTTCACTTCTCCTCCCTACTCCAAACTCTTCACCCGTTAGTGAATAGCCGTTAGCTTTTTTTTAAAAAGTGGAATACATTTTTGAATGTTTTCATGTAATATTGCATTATCCCCCCTAGAGGGAGCCAAAGGATAATAGGAAACAAATATTTATTTTCTGTGCTACCTTGGCACCATCTAGTGGCCAAAATGTGACATTACATAAATAAATATTCAAAAATACATTCCCTTGAAAGAAACAACTAAACAGCGTTCCTTTTGACATATCCACAAAGAATGAATGTTCACATTTATTTTCAGGGTGCATGGACCCCACAAATAGACCAAGTGTTACATTTTTATGTATCAAATGCTCACCTGTAAAAAAAAGATGATATGTATAGAGGAAACCAGACAAAAAAACACCCCATTAAAGCATAAGACCTTAAAAAATGAGTAATAAATCAGTAATAAACTACTAAAGGGGAAAAAAAACAAGAAACTATACCATGTATAGTTCCTCAGCCATCGAATAAAACATAACACCTTTTGAAACCCCTAGCATTCTGTAACACTACTCTAAATAAAGATTTAGGACACTATGTACATTGTGTAGTTATTCATCATTCTAAAACTTTTGCTGGATTTTATCATTTGACCACATTGGATATAAGAAGTGTGGATGTCTTCAACTTTTGTTTATCATATACAGTATATCTGCTTTCTTTCTAGAATAACTTCTTACATATTTCACATTCCAAGACACCATGCAAGGCATGTACAGGATACAGTGTCCTGCTCTACAGTATATTTCAAAACAAGTTGGGAAACAGTCTTGTGAAATCCAGTAAAATACAACTCAAGCATTTGTGGACAAAGTGAATAAAAATAGAAGGCCAAGGAACTGATTCAGCAGAAAGAGTCATTAAAAGTATGGGCTGGAAAGTTACTTGATAAACACTGAATCCCCTAAGTCAGGGGTGGACAAATTCATATGAAATTCAGCAGCCAGTCTGTCCAATCCAGGATCCAACAGGATTTTTTAGGAGTGAGCTCCACTGACAACAACTAAAGAAAACTACAAAAGTTGGGCCCCAGCTGCAATTTTTAAGAAGCATTGGCTACCTGGCTCCTGGGATCTGTCCAGCCTTGTGTTAAGTCATATAATATTTTTTGTTACTAATTCTACACCATTGAGAAAATTGTAGGTTAGAACAAAAGAAATTAACGCATCCTATAACATTACTACTATATAAAAACTACACATGTTCCCTGTTTCCTATGAAGTTGCTCATAGAATGCACAAACTCCACACTAATCTGCCCAACTCTGGCATAATGGGATCGGTATGTTTTTATATTTGCTTACTTTACATCATTTTTGGTTCCCCTTGGATGGTAAGCTATAAAGAAAGAAAATGTTGCCCTCTTTGAATTATTAAGTAGGAAGAGCATGTCATATACTGTATGTGCTCACGGTAACCAGAAACTTTCTTACTTTAACTTCTTGAAATGTTTCCTTGTCACTGATGGACTCATCGGTGATACATCCAGATTGATTCAAGTAGTGGTACTTTTCTGTTTGCAATAAATAAAATGCTTCTGTGGAACAGAAATGAAAAAGGTTGTAAATTTAGGGGAAAAAGTAAAAAAATGCAGTATAAACGAGCTTAATGGTAAAATCATAGTACAAAAATCTGCTAACAGCAAACACACATGAACATGCCCACACATGGATGAAGATTTATTTAAGTGCAGTGACGCAAACCTGTGTTCACTTTAAATACCCCATCACATGCAGGAAAAGATCATTTTTTATTTTAACTGTGCACAACTTCATGCCCAAGTAGTCGGATAATACAATCAATTACGACACTGATCTAACAATGCATGGAATGCATGGAAAGTTTTTTTATTGTACCTTGATGTGCGATAACATATTTCTATCTAGATTAAGCCTAATATGAATGGGAATGCATATTGTATGAAAAAGGGGTTCACACAAGTAATGACAAGCCATGTAAAAGTGGTCAGTCAGGGTAAACTCATCCATAGCAACCCTTAGCCCTACACAATGTGCCCTACTTTTTACAATTTTGCTCTTCATCCAACAAATTTGTCAGACACTAAAGCTTGGGTTTCTATGGGTTCCTGCATTATGGGGTGGCATGATGAGTAGCATATGTTTTCCATTACTGGAAACAACAGGTACTTCTTGGGACTGAGACAGATCTGGGTGGGAAGTTTAATCACCTTTAAGTATATCTAAAGCCAAAACTTTTTTAATATTTTCATTTTGGATGAAGTAGGGGTGTTGTTTTTCTGTGTCTCATTAGGGAGATTTTCATTCACTTCCTGTTCTGTAGACTCACCTTTCAAATGTAAGGAAAATGCTCTCTTAGACAGATATCAGGGGAACAAATGTCCCTATTGGATGATTTCCCCTCTAGTCCTGTACATGGGGCCACTGAACATGTGGGATTTAACATAATTTTCCCCCAGTGAAATTAATAATCAAAACAATTTTGCATTCCCCTAATATGGACACAGACAGCAATAAAAACATGACAGTGTTTCTAACCCCTCACTACTCTATCCAAATCTAAAACAAATGTTTTTCTTTTGCTGTTCTTTAAGGTTGCTGCTTTGCAGAGTACTTGTTAATTTGCCTTTGAGGGAAAAGTACACCTGTGTTTAAAATAATCACCTACACGGAAATACGTTCAAAGGAATATCCACTAAACATCCCCGTGTTCACCTGTGCAACCTCTTACAGTCTTTGTGAGGAGACGCTGTAGTAAGTGATAATGAGTAGGAGTTTCACTTGAGAAAACGGTTTGATCTGTATCACTGGCAATATATTAAACCACAACAGGGAGTTCAATTTCCCAAACACAGCAATGAGCAAAGAAGTCAATGATAAGAAAAATAATCCATTGAGAGCTCCACTTTAACTCTGACATATGAGGAACATTTCACATGTCTCACTGTTATACCCAGTATAGAAGCAATTCTGAGCATTTCCTTTCCTGTTTATCTTAAAATGTATTGTTTCCTGCAGAGTAGAGAATTAGAGTTTATTACTGATTGAATAGAGGAAGGAAACAAGAATCCTGTAACAAAACTATGTGCATTTCTTGAGGACCGTACTTATTATATAAATTCATAATCATGAAAAAAAACGGTGAACAGTTTATTACATAAATGGAGAACTAGAGTTGTCTATACTTTAGAAAGCCCAAAATGTGTTTGTGCAAATTGGAGTTTAATAATGATCTAATTGTTTACAGAATGGAAGAAACGGAATTCTGAGTCATGAAAACACTAAGGGGTCTATTCACAAAGCTGCCGAAGGATCTGGCCGTAGCTTCGGCCGATCCTTCGGCTAGCTTCGGCCCCAGGACCCCTTCGGTTCAGGAGAACCGAGGGGGTGCTGTATGGGCTATTCACAATAGCCCGTACAGCTCCCGATCACGGCCGAGCGGCTCAGTCGAGCCGATCGCATATGCCTCGGCTCGGCTGAGCCGTGCTGAAAGCCGAATCAGCCGATCCAGATGTTGGATCGGCTGAGTCGAACTCCTTCTGCACTTCGGGTCAGCCGAACATGCTGAGCATGTTCGGCTGATCCGAAGCCACACGAAGCAAGCCGATGTACGGCTGATTTCATCCGATATACGGCTGAAATCAGCCGTACCAGCCTGAAGTGAATAGCCGAACAGTGTTCGGCTCACTTCACTTCTGATCGGTCATTCACTCGGCTGCCCTCGGCAGCTTTGTGAATAGACCCCTAAGCATTAATTGCCATATTAGCATAACAGTTGGCTAGATGTGAACATACGGGAAAATTGTGTATAAAAACTTAGAGGGTTATTTACTAAGCTACCTTAGGTAGCCGAGTGAATAGCGGAGCCGAACTGAATTGAGCCGAACGGCGTTCAGCTATTCCCTTCGGCTCTGTACGGCTGATTTCAATCAGCCGTACACAGTCTGGCTTCGGTTCAGCCGAACATGCTCTGCAACATTTGGATTGGCTGAGCCGAAGCTCCAGCAGTTCACTCGATGCCAATCACCCCTGTTCTCCTAGGGGCTGTTCGGCATTGAGTGAATGGCCGAGTGCCGCTGAGCGCCATTCGGCTCAGCTATTCTGCTCGCTACCTCCAAGGTAGGGAGCAGAATAAATAACATGTAAACAAAAAATAAAAAAAGTCAAAAAATTATTTAAATGAATGTAAAAAGAAGAAAAATTTAAAAAGTTAATAAAATAATTTTAAAAATGTAACAGAAAACCCCTCCCCCCAGAAAAGTGTGGTGTCTCCCTCCCAAACCATACCAGACCCTGTAGGTCTGGTAGGAATGTTAGGAGGGACCCCAAGTTAAAGTAAAAAAAATGCATGGGGTTCCCCCCAAAAGTCGTACCAGGCCCTTTAGGTCTGGTAGGAATTTTAAGGAGGAGCCCCACCTCCAAAGAGGGGGAGAGGGGGAAAAAACATTCCTAACCAGACCCTTGATCCGAGCACAAGCCCCTTCCCTCCCTGCGCCATACCAGGCCACATGCCCCCGGCACTGGGAGGGTGCTTTTCCAGGGTCCTCCCTGGAAAAGCACCTTGTCCCTATGCCGATGTACGTATCTCCACTAGCGAGAGCCACTGCTTGCCTGGTGACCATTCCCTGAAACATAAATTATTGGAAAATCCAAAATTTTAGAACTGTCATATGAACTAAAGGTGAGGTGAAGTCTTCCATTGGGGATACCTGTTTTAGTGACAACTGTCTCAGAGAAGATATCAATTTGCTTTTACTTCCTGTTGTGCCTCTGAAACAGGAAGTGAAGGGAAACTCCTGACATGAATCTTAACCATTCCCTACTCTATTCAAAACTAAAGAAACAAGTTTTGGCATTACATAAAGTATTTGCTTATGCTAATAGCAAAATACATTCTGTTATTAGTATGCACCGTTTTCCCTGTAGAGTTCATTGTTAAAGCCTATCTAAAGCCAAAAGAAAATAAATTGCAGTTTACAAATTCCTAGATGCAGTGGCTGCATTTGTTTTGGGTTTGGATTTTTTTTTCAGTGAATGTTCCTGATTTTAATAATATCAGAGGTTTTACAGACCAATTAGAGATCATTATTGTAAAGAAAATGCCTCTAAATAAGCAGGAAAGAACAGCAACATTTTAGTGAATCATTAGTCACGTATATCTACTGCAGGTGTCAGATCTATCTACTTAAAAAAAGTACATTTCAAATGAAGAAAAAAAACCCTCTAAAATGCCATACAAAATAGGAAATCAAGGAAATTGAGTTAAACCTTTAATGCACTGGACATTTATTAATGTTACCTCGATCCTCTTTCCCTGCCCCCTCCAGTAGTGCATAGAAAATGTGGTAATTCCTCTCCTCGGGATTCTGTCGTACTACACGATTCTACAAAAAAAATATCAGTGGTTAATCTCTGGTATGTTCTAGGGGGGATGATGACAGATGAAGAATGAAAATAGCACACTAACCTTTTCTAATAAATCTTTATTAGAAAGACGCTGGAGTTAAAGATGCATAACATGCAATCCAAAATGAAAAGCTGTGCGTTAACAAGATGCATATACATTTACAGTGATTTATATAGTACATGGAACTGCATATGTTTATGTTTATATCATGAAAAAAAACCCATTAAGATCAATCAAACATTGAAATACTAGCAGCTGCAAGAACACCCACATCATGTATTAAGCACATATATCCTGTCTGCTTTTATTTATCATGAACCAAAGTAGACATGTACCATTAACATCTGTTCACGCATAGCAATGGACACTGGACTTTTTAGAGGAAAATAATGTACACTAATCAATAGCCACCATTCAGACATGTGCTTTCATCTGCAAATTGGCACCTACCACTATCAGGGTGGTTTTTTAACCAGTTGTGCACGTTGGGAGTTCTACACACTCTCCAAAAAAAGTAATTGAATTACACAGGGCATGTGTAGTACCTCCTCTCTTTAGAAAATATGCAAAAGTAAATAGGTTGAATAGTGAATAAAGTGGAGTTATGTTCACTTTGTATACCCAGTCACGTACACAGGTATTAAAAAAACATTTGGCCTTGTACAAGACTGCATGATTGAACTGAATACAGTTTCATTTTATTCTGTAAGTGAAAGTTCATTTTGCTAACAGAACATTATCTAATTCTTTAGTAAATCAACCCCACATGGTACTGCCATTACGTTTCAGGAGTACAATGGCCCCCTCCGCGGTTGTAGCATGTGATGAAGGGTTAATGGAATACAAGCATTGTAATACCTGAAATCAATATCTAAAAATAAATGATTGTTTCCTTTTAAATGCCTTGTATTATGGGGTCGACGGGTCTTTAGTTGACTTCAAACAGGTTTTGCATTCCCATACAAGTCTACAGAAATGCAAAAGCAGCTTGAAGCAGGTCAACTGCAGGTCAGAGCAAGATCAACTGAAGGTTAAATACACCTGTCAATGAATTCTGAACAATCGCAGTAGAGTGTTAAACTGATGCCATCAACACAAGTCCAAAGTCTTTGGGCACAGTGCCTTATAATGATTGGATGTATCTATACTGCATGGTGCAACAGACCTGGAATATAGGCACCTTGCTACAGTATACTATGGTCCTGAAATCTACACTATTTTCTCTTCCTTTGAGAAGCAGCCCACAAGCAAATTACAGAGGTTTACAAGGCCAGCTAATATTTTACAAACAGGATAGAATATTTCTATTATGACAGAACCCATTAAAGCCAATTTGTTGGATATTTATTAGTATATAATGTAAATGCATAGGAAACTCCAACATTTACAGTATATTCCATATAGTGATAAATATCATATGTTTGTGTTAAAAGAATATTTTACAAAACACAACATGGTGGAGCTGCTTGAATGCTTTTCATTGCATCCTTTTGTTTGGTAGCTGCAGAAGTTTTCACACATTTCTATACATTTGATGCCTAAGCTTAACACAAAACTGACAGTGATGCCATATATACCAATGCACATGCGCTAGTATGTATATGTAAGTACATCTGTCTGGTAAAGACACCAGAACCAGAAAAAACACGGTTTTTAGTCAAATGCAGTTTTAAAATGTAGTGCCACTTTTGCAGTCAAATTTGAGAAAACCCTGCTATATATTTGCTATGTGTTCCTATTCACGCAGCACACCTGAAAATAATGTTTAAAAAAATATTTCTTATCTGTTAGATGTATCTGTGTATCAGGCATTAGGAGCTTCTCTGTGCAATTTGAAAGTAGCAGGGAACTCAGTCTGTCCCCATAGAAAGCCTAGGGACAGACTGAGTTTCCTTTCCTTTAGGGATGCACCGATACCGGTACTTTGGCCACCTGGCTTCCTGATTAGCCGTGAGGCCGGGCAGCATGTAAAGACTTGCCAACCGGCTTCCCGATTAACAAGAAAGTCTGTCCCCTCTTACCTTGGTATGTCCAGCCTGTCACCCCCGGGGCCTCTCCAGCCAGAAAGAGGCCTTCCTACGGTACTCAGCCGGAGCCATCTGGTCAGCCAATCAGGAAGCCGGGCGCTGTGTAATGACGCGATGCCCTTCTTTCTGATTGGCCGGGAGGCCAATTAGTCATTAGTTGACGAGGGAGCATGAAGCCAGCTTCCCGAGTCAATCAGAATGCCGGTCGCTGGCCAATCAGGAAACCGGGCAGCATGTAATGACGCGCAGCCCAGCTTCCTGATACAGGAAGTATCGGGCTAGGCATTGAAGCATTTGGGCGAGTACTCGCCCAAATACTCGGTATCGGCACCGATATCGATACTAGTATCAGTGCATTCCTATTTTCATTAATATACAATGATTCTAGATCTTTAACCTCCAATTACTCCAATTTGGCTGCAAATGTGGAAATAAGTTTTAAATTGTAGTAAAATGACAATGTTATATTTTTTCTTCATTGTAATTTTACAATTGCATTTAACAATTATAATTCATGAACACAACATAGCCGATAATTCCCATCTGGTAAACATGTCAGTACTGTAGATACATGTGTTAGAAGCACATTACAACTCCTGGGCCACATACGTGATTCATAGTATGGAGCAGAATACAGAGAATTCAGAGTATATTAGTATATGGAGAGCAGATTGGCTGCTGCCAATAGCTGGATTGCTAATGCACCTATTACAACTATAGAGCGTAGTTACAGATTCCTTTTAAAAGTTTCATCTTCATAAAAAATGCTCTCTGTTGGTGCAATGAGAAAGGATACAGTCTACAATTCGTCCTCCCTGAATATGACCTTTCTGACATATATTCAGTTGAATGAATTTCCCAAACCGGCTTGAATTATTATTGTAAACAGTCTTTGCATTCCCAAAGGCCTCCATGATCGGACTGTGAAAGGAAACAGAAAAAAACATGATACATTGATCTCACATTACTTTTAAATACTAACCAGATCCCTCTCGTTAATCTCTTGTAAAATGACAATTATGTGTCGCAGTTTTTATAGTTTTGCCTTTGCACGCCTGAGATATTGCATTATCTACGTGATAACATTCTTTACTGACTACAAATTCTATTTCTGCAGTTAGTTTCCTGCATTCCATCTTACTGCCTGTCTCTTACTTCCCTAAGGTTAACAGTGCATCAGAGTTAGGAAAAGCTACAAAAACGACATTCACTGGTCATCTAGATTGTGAATTGGATCTCAAGGTCACTATTAACTGATGAAGGGACCGTTTAAGGTTCCGAAACATTGCTTCCAACTATGATGCCATGTGTACCCGACGTCAATAAAAGAATAAAAGGACAATTTGATGCATTGGACCTTGGTGTGTGGGTGATGTTTTCTACGTTTGGATCTCAATGTTTCACAAATAAATATCTAACTCTTGCTAATGTTTCTTTCTAAGTTCTGCAGCAGATAAACATCCAGGATGCAGAAATATATTGAAAGAGGAATACTGGGTGCAATACTAGTACAATAACTGGTAAAAAAAGAGAGAATGTGAAAGAATATAATTCACTAATAAGCATATCAGCATATTCAGAAAAGGTGGTCAGACTCCCCTTGGTGCCATTTCATCGTTCCACCAAGTGAACAGATTCTGCAGATCGTCCAAATGATATGCCGGGCTGCAGCAGACCATCTTATAGATGGTTATACCTCATATACTTGTGAGTGCAGTATACTCTTTCACATTCTCCCTTTTTTATTTACTTTGGTGGCGCACTAGTAATGTTCCTCTTTTCATTTACAATTGGCTTACTTCATACAAATTCCTACTTGTGCCACTTTTAAATATTTGGATGGGACCTCTCCCTCAAAGAGCTTAACCTATAACCTGGACTGTGAGTTCCATAAAAGCGCATTGGAGTGGACTTGGTTCTTTTATGTAGACATTTAAAATTTAATGAATATTTGGTAAAATCATAAGCAGTAAATATGAACTGCATTCCACTTGGATAGCACTTTAACACGCTCATAATGAATTCTGCAATAATAGCAATAAATACTAGGTGTTAAATTGTAGTAGAAGCTGGTAGTAGAAGCTGGTAGTATATGTAAGAAGTAAGTCCAAAGAGTAACAAAACCATTAACTGCTTCCAGCTTATAAAAAAAAAAAACCTTAAAGTGTAATCATAGATTTGGATAGAGTAGGGAAGGGTTAAAATCCCGGTTATTTTTTCCTCTCTGTATACCACTGGGGAAATTGCCCTTCACTTCCTGTCCCATAGACACAACAGGAGGTTTCAAGAGAAACAGGAGGGAATTTCCCAAAGTGAAGGCAATTCCCCTTTTAGATTGGTGTCCTTATGGGAAGATTTCCAATCTCCCCATGTCCAGGAAATTTCTGTTCATTTTCTGTCTTGGTGGCAATAGTCGCCTGTACAAATAAAGGGGTGAATCTTCCCAGTAGAGACTCAGGCAGCAATAAAACTTGACAGAGGGTCCAACCCCTCCCCCCTCTATCCAAAGCTAAAAAATGTTTTTGCCTGTTATATGCAATGTGGAGTTCAGAAAACTGGAGTGAAAGTGGAGTAGGTGCCCACAGCAATCATGCTGGTTTAATGTCTTTAATTATACACATATTTAAATAGTACCTAAGCAGAAAGATCGCCAGTCCTAGGTGCTCTCCCGTCCATGGGTGTACTTACTTAAACCTGTGCAAATTTCCACATTAAAAAAGGCAGTGTGGGTAAGGTATATTAAGGCACCCTATAGCACTTACTTTACCACCCTGCATTAGCTTGTGTAGTATTTACTCACTACAGAACTACAGAGTTGCTTTAAGTAGCCCAAGTTGATCATCAATCTACCATCAGACCGCTGATTGAACAGTTACTGTTATACTGCAAGCACTGTGCAATGCAGTAAAGTCTGACTGCCTCATACCGCTGAAAAACTTAACTTGTGATTGTAATGTCTTCTTTATATTGTAAAGCGTTGCGCAAACTGTTGGCACAATATATATCCCGTATAATAATAATAATCTTGATAAATTCTTCATTACAACTTTTACTCTTCTGTCTATGACTGAACTGAGTGAAGGAACTACCTTTCTATACAAATAATATACTGGGTATAATGTACATTTTGTAAGATATAGAAATCTGAGTTTTATTCAAAAAATGTTTGGCTGAATCTTGATATGAACATATCCACTGAGAGAACCAAAGGGACTTTAACAGGTAGGAGGATCCTGTCAGACTTCATAATGTTATGTGAACACTTTCGTTCTTGCAGCGCCAGAAAACAGCTAAACATGACTCATTAAAGCATGTATCTTCAGTAAAACAACAAGTAGTCTGTAAAGGGGCTCCATCTGGTGAAATGCAAAGGAGCTATTGATATAAAGCAATACATTACCTGCTCTCCAAAATTGCTTGTTCCACACTGGCAGTCTTTACTTTTGAAGACAGTTCTAGGGAATGCTGGCTCATTGCAGACAAGTACTTTAAAATGTGTTTTGTGCTCTCTGTTTTGCCTGCCCCACTTTCACCACTGCAAAATAAAAAAAATATGTATATATTAATGAAAAATTATACATATGGTAAATGCAGCTTTTGTTCAGGGGGCGATCATCTGTCTCTACCCGCGGGTAATCGATCCATGTGCGGTAACCTTTGGAACCCAGCGGACTGCTGCGACCACTGTGAGTCTGTCTTTGCTTTACACAGACTGAGCAGCCGCAGCTGTCCAGAGCCACCTATGATTCCTGCCCATGAATCCCCCTTTGGACATTAAAGCCTTGTGTGAGTGAGGTCTTATCGTGCGGCATCAGGACAGGAAGTAAAAGAAAATCTCCTCAATGGAGACACAGGCAACCATTAGAATCAATAAAGGCTTTACCATATCCCCATAATAAACCAAAAACAAAAATGTTTTGGATGAACTCCAACTTTAAGAAAGGATCACAATAATACACACATACTAGTAGAAGAGGAATGCTTATGGTTTTGTAATAGAATTGCTTTAAGAATTTATAGCCCATATATCACTCACACATATGGTCTGTATGAACTATGCCTTTTATCATAAACAAGCTTTTCTTGGTTGGGGAATAAGAACCACCTGTAATACCAACTTCAGCAAACCAATGCACAGCACTAGAAATAACAGCCCAGACTACAAGAGTCACACAACATAAAAATGACAAGGACCTGGGAAAATACATACATTACAAAATATATACAGAACTATTTGTATGATCATATCTCTTCCACTGGAGATTAAATGACTGAGCTGTAAGGAAACATCTAACAATTATACTCTGGAGGAATTTCTTGCAAATACATTTACTGTCAAACGATCTTTATTGTGGCTGGACGTACAGTGTACGTCTCCCGTCACGAAGGGGTTAAAGGCTTTTTTTATTTTCTTTTTTATTTACATCTTTGGGGGTTGCTTTATGTTTAATATCGTGCCCTTTGGAAAGGGAGTCTCATGAGGAATTAATAAAGAAAGGGCAGCTCTGAGAAGAAGGGACTGAGTAATTGGCCAAATAAAAAAGCAATCTGTTACTATAAAGCAGTTTGGACAGCTTTAGCCAATCACCCAGTGCAATATTGTGGTAATAAATAATCTCTTACTAAAAGCTGAGCGTCTTGCAGCTTGGCGCCAGAAGGGAAATTAGAAGAGAAAACAATGCTTTTTTAACCACCGCAATCAGGATGAGAAATTGGAAATGACGACAACCAAAAGCACAAAATATGGTGGTTTGTGATGCTGATAATCTGTTATTAATTGCTCTTATTACATGTTATATGTTTATCATACCAGAAAAGTTATTGTATCACACCCTAAAAATAATACTCCACTTACTGACTCTTACTGTCTCTTAAAGTGAACCTCTGAGGATAGAAATATGGGATCTATCTTTGCTGACGTAATATTTAAAACTTAAATCCAGGATAAGCATCAATTGTCTAAATACAAGAGGAATGTATATTCTTACTTAAATCCTGGTGTGCTTAATGTATTTCTTTCATATCTGTGCAGTAATCCAGCAAAAAATGTGCCTCTGTGCAGGAACTTCTTGTAATAAAGACCAGTCCCTGCTGTTCTCTCTACTTGTGCAGCGTGACTGGTCTTGTTTCCACCCCTACTGTAGTTTTCTGCAGGGCCCCTCCCACAGCTCTATTCTGTGCACAGGTTATGTGTAGCCCAGTAATGATGTCACCTCTAGTTTTACAATGTAATATTTGGATTTGTAAAGGCATTGGTGCAGACAAAGTGCCCCTATTGAGGAATTGGTGCAGACTTTGCCCCTATTGAGGGATATATTTGAATTAACCCCCCCCCCCAGTTTTGATTTAAAGGTGCAGGCTCCAGAGTATGCACCAGGTCAGTGACTTATGAGATCCAGCCAGGATCAGGATGATGGCCCTAGAGCTCGCATGTATAAAACAAGCAACTACAACCCCCATCCATAATTCTGCTCTCACAGTATTGTTTAAAGCTGTTCTCTGGGACCATTGCATCAGTTGCTGTTAAGTAGATGGAATACAAGGGGACAGGATTGTTGCAAGATACTGTGTGATATTAGATGTGACAGAGATGTTGCTGCTGACAATCGCACCTGTGGAGGGAGACCACTAAGCACTAAATTCCTGACACAGGCCTATATTAGTGAAAAACAATACTGATGAGCTGAAAAAAAATACAATCAATATGGCAAGACTGACAACCACAGACATGAATTTCAGAGGCAGGTGCATAATTGGATTTGCAGCCTCACCACAGCCGGAGGGCTGAAGTTTGGCTACCCCGTCTATACCATTGCATACTGGAATCCAACTTTTGTCCAATGCAGGATCATCTAGAAAACCCCAACAAGTATCAAGCATGACCTTCCATCATATTTTACATGGAGACAGGCTCATTATCAGGTTGCTTGACCCTACAATGGGTTTCTAGCAGCTACACATATGTGAGTACATGACTATAATATATTTTGTTGCTCTAAAACCCCCACACCTTTTGAATTTTACCACTACACTCAGAAGGATCTCTCTTTGGGATCTCTACATGTCCAATGAACTATGCCCTGAAGCAGTGACACAGCCAGCAAATTTAAAGCACAGCCAGTACTCAAGTCCCAGCACTGCTTTGTAAAGCAATATGCTTCAGAACCTAGAATACTGACCTATGTTGACAGGAATTTTATGATAAATCATTTATGTGTTAAGCATTTTGCACCAATACAAAGCTGCTCTTAAAGTGGGCCTTTACACTCAAAATCAAACTCTTCTAATGCATCCTTATATGTATGATGATTAATACCAGACATGTTAGGTGTAAAATGCTGTGATTATGAAATACTTACACTTGCAGAGCATTCACGTCCTTTTAGCCACAACATCTAATGCATGGTAGGCTGCAATATTAGGTTCATAAAGAATCGGCCTCAAGTCTTGTAATTATCTGGTATGTAAGCATTTTTTTTTTTTTTTACTGAGACATAGCTGGTAAAATACCTAACCCTTGCACTGTGCTCACAGTATAACAGACTATCTCTATTTTCAACAAACAAGGGGATACAAAATGAATGTAATGCAGGGATATTAGAATAATTACACTTTTATTTGATCCTATTCCAATGTTGCAGGAGATATCATAATTTAGTTCAATAGCTGAACTTTACATTTATTATTATAAAAGTTACAGTATAACTTACTCACATGTGGCTAAAAAGTTGTAGGATGTTCAATGACCACAAGGGGGCACTAACTCCTTAAAGTTATCAAGCTTCCAGTAAAAAAGCAGAACTAATTTTTACACATTAGATTTGTGTTTAATATAAGGATTGGATTTAATTGACGGATATCAACCTAATTAATCTCAGCAGTGTTATCTTAGGACAAACCATACCCAGGAAACCAGCTGACCAGCACTGAGCTGTTCTCAGCAACTCTATTTTGGGTTGCGGCAGTAAATCAGAGCCCCCGGAAGCTTGCGATCATGCAGGCTGAGCATGTAAAAATCCTTAAAGATAATGTCCCTGGTAGCAATCAAAACCAGGACCCCAGTGCTAAAACCTCAATAGATCATGTACTACATGCGCAATGTACCCGATTCAAGAGTTTAATCATTGAAACATGATTTGTGGTATATGTAGTGGAATGTGTTCTGTGTTCGCTACAACATTGCGGGTTGTACAGTTTGTTCTTTGAGAATCAAGATTGGATAGCACTGTTGTGATGGCTGTAATTCTGATTCTCCCCGACCCGCTAATGTGTCCAGAGACTTCCTAGAAGTACATAAAGGACATATGACATCCTTCTCATTTTTGGAGTGAAAAGGGTCTTATTATCAGCTAGCGGTGGTATGGGCCTGTTCACATGATTTTCAGGTCCGGATCAGGTGCGGATCTGCAGACGTGGTGCTACTCATGCAGTGCGTTTTTGACGCGTTTTTGGATGATGACAGTTCCCAGTTTTCAAGCCGTGGGGCTGTCAGTATGCAGATTCTTCCTCTGAGGTCACTTCTGCCCTCTCCTAACATCTACTTCCCTTGTGTATGTAAAGCTGGTGAACAGACATGTATCACATGTTTGCAGACATGTTGATGGTGCTGGCTACAGCAATCTGCAGAGAACGAGCCCGCAGGAGACGTCGTTATTGGGTACACCCGATCTTGAGGCTCCAGGACTCCAAGGGTCAGTTCTGGAGTTTATATGAGGATTTGCGAGCTCACCCGGATACATTTTTTTCCTTTACTCGTATGTCCATGGAAAGGTAATGTGCATGTTTAAAATGTTTGCAGTTCATGTCTTTACCTCTACCCCAACCTCTTTCACTCATCCTCATAGTTCTAGCCGACCTGTGACAATGAAACTGTCACAGGTCGGCTTAGTAGATCGGGAAGTGAACGAACACATACCGGCGTTCGCTCACTTCTCGATCCTGTCACGGCTCTCTGCCATGACAGGGGAGGGACTTGATTCCCCCCTCTTCCCTGCTCTGATCCTCCAGCGCTGACTGGCGGAACGGACGTGGGAGGGGGCGGGTACAGCTGGCTCTGCCTCTAGATAGGCAGAGCTAGCTGTCACTCGCTCAGCTGGGCAAATCCAGACATAATTGTCGGGATCTGCTTCAGCTGCGGCGTCTCAGTATATTGCGAGCTGTAGCTCACGGTATACTGAGCTTAGGGTGACGGGAGGATGCTAGTTTGTGTCCTCCCGTTACCCTAAGGAGAACTATGTGGAAAAGCCCTAACCCCATAGTTCTCCTTTAAGGGAAACCTCCATGGGGTATAGAGAAATCAGTAAAACCCCCCTTTTTTTTAGAATAGAGTATGGTAGGGCTAGAACTTGGTTGTACATGCTAGTTATTAAAATTGTCTGTGGCCCATTTTGTGTAATAACTCGATGTTAAGCAGTTCCCGCTGGCATGACGTACATGTGTCAGAACGGTGGATGGTTTTAATGCTGACTGTATGCATATATGCGTCCAACCGGCCCGCTGTTCTGTGCTAAAAGCACGCTTACCTGGGTACTCCCATCACAGTGACCGAACTGTCACCAACAGCTCCCAACCACTGTTTATAATAAGGAGCCAATGGGATGGGTGCCCCTTTCATGTAACTGATGTGACAGCCAATGCAGTCCACCTCTGCTTTCCGTCATTCAGAACTTCTTACAGAGATGATGGGAGCCATTGCCAGGGGGCTAAAGTGGAATTGAAGCCAAAACTTTTTTTCATTGGGAGGGTTATAACCCTGTAATTTTTTTTTACTTGTATAGCCATCTGTGTCCCAGGAGATTTCCCTTCACTTCCTGTCCGATAGCCACAACAGTAAATGAGAGAAAATCCCTCCAAAGTGAGGGAAGTCCCTGCTCAAATTTTTTCATCACTGCAGTTGAAAATGATCACCGATTTGACTCCATCATTGATTAGAAAGTCGAACGAAAATTCCGAAACCAATTTTGTTTTAGAGATTTTAACCATGTATACCCTACATAAGTCTGTAAAACTACCGGGGTATGTGTGACCTCAACAGGGGAATGTGAATTCATCAGACGACCAGGACAGAAGATGGCTGTGCGACTGAATATCGCACAGCCAGGAGTATATAAGAGCTCATACAAGGTAGAAGACTCCCGAGGAACACTGCATACATGCAAAGACACATACATGTTTAGAAAATAAAGAAACGCTATCAGGATGCACTCTGCCAGAGAAGATAAGTATTAAAAATAAACTCAGAGTTCTACTTAAACTATTTAACAAGCTAGAATGGTGTTATAATACATCTCTTTAAATATTGACAAATGAGGAATAACGGTAAAGAGGAGCTCCATCCAAATTTTTTTTAGCTCTAGGTAGAATGGTCAACGTTTGTAATCTTTGTCAAATTTGTATCGCAGTATGTTTGCGATTGTTTCTGTTTATTTCCTACTGTAAACCAGGACAAGAAAAGTAGAGAATCCATCCAAAGTGGAAACAGACATCAATAATATCAGGTTTTTTTTATTTGAGTGGGAAGGAATTATAACCTCTGCCATATATTTATTGCCCATATGTCCCCAATGAGATTTCCTTACTTTGTTTTAAGTCAGCATGTTAGGATGTAGGTAATTATGTCAATATACACATATACAAATATAAAATCTGAGAGGTTTTATTCCATTCTTCACTCTATACAAAACAACAAAAAGTGTTGCTGTATTTCAACTTTAATTTGTCTCATATATTGTACCAATAAGAAATCAACTACTACTTCTACTTCGAATACTGCTACTACTAGTAGTAATGATAATTATAGTATTAAATACTTCTTACCTAATAAGAACACATTGGTTGTCATGCCTTTTCCATAAGCAGCGATAACACTCATTGGCCACTGCGAAGATGTGAGGTGGTATTTCTCCCATGTGATGTCTGCTATACAACTCTGTTGTGCTTTGGTCATATAAACCTGGAATCAACTTGTAGGGGTTGACAGAAGTCAAAATAGAGCCTATATATGTCTGAAAAGCAAAGAATGAGACAATGATTAAAGAATAACTTCACCCAAAAGAAATTAAGGAGACATTAAGATGATTACTATGACAGGAAAGAAGGGGGCATCTCTCCATTTTGGTGGAACACGGAACAGCTAGAACCTTTTCAGATTTTATTGTTGTCAGAGTTCCTGTTAGGGATTTTGCCCTCATCTCATGCCCCAATAACCCTTCCTGTTCTGGTTGGACACACAGGGATTTGTTAGCTGATACCAGGGAATGTCCTTAATAAGTTTAGAAATAAAAAACAGCCTAAACGAATCATTAGCCAATGAATAACTCCAAGAACCAAAAAATCTTATTACCTAAAGCTTAGCAATTTAGTTTAAATATTTAGCTACAGCAATTACCACTTAGACATATAAGAAGTAAGTTTGATTATATCTTATTGGGCATGATTTAGTGTAATCGTAGACATGAGATGATCTATTTAGGGTAAACATAGCCATGAATTGATCACCACCCAATGTCTAACAAACTGGGTGAGCACCTCAATGTCCATGGTCAGATTTTGTTTAATGTCTGTTGTTGTTTTAAAATTAAGGTGGCCATAAATGGCCTGGATTCAGCCTATTTCTGCTAAAATTTGAGTTGTGGGTGCCCATGTCAGCACTACCTGATTCTACAAACGAAATGAGTGGAAAATTATTGGCCAGACAGTGATTGAATTCAATCAGATGCAGTCACTGTTTGGGTATTCAGACAGCCATGAGTTACGGCTGTCTAAATACAATAGCCAGCAGGGAAGATTCCGCCATCCACGCTGTTTAGCATGGATGGACAAATCTATTTGTGCACTGCTGGCCTTTGTCTTAGTCTATGACTGCTATACCATCCATGGTCAGAGAGTGGACATTTACAGAATGATTTTGGGGAGAAAAACCTCTTTTGCTTTTAGAACACTCCAAATACAGTAAGATTTTACTTGAATTGTCATTAGCCAACAATGGTAGTACACCCCAACCAGGTAATATGTGCTAATTTAAAATGCAATATGCACATATGATTATACAAATACACAATATAGAACTCATTAACAATCAACCCTGTCCGCATGCAAAGGAAAATATCAAATATCAAAAAAATGAATAACAAAATACTAGGGTTGCACAGATACCAAGTACAGTAATCGGTACAAGTACGAGTACATGTACCGATACTTTTGAGCTCCAATTCAAAAATTAGGAGGCAGCTGTCATTTGTAAGGAGCACACGGTGCTCCCGGGATTTGTACATCTCTGTTTTAATGTACGATTTTGTTTTTATAAATATAAATAAAGGGATGCACAGATACCAGTTTTGCGAGTACGAGTACTGGTACTTGCCGAGTACTTACAAGTACGAGTACTGATACATGTTTGTTTATTGTCATGTGACAGTTTTTCTAAAACAATACAGACTAATGATTTCAGGACAGTGGTGGAGTGCCAGAGCCAGGTCCCAGCTACAACCACTGCAACCCTGGTAGTTCTCATGAAAATGCCAAGTATCTGCACTGGTACTCGAAAAGTATCTGTGCATCCCTACAAAATACATGTAGGCAAGGCACATGGTCACCCTATATGTGTGCAAATGTATAATAAAGACCTTACTTACTGGTACTATAGAGGTTTTGTGAAATTCTCCTCCTATGTACATGTTTCATTGCTAGTTATATGATAATAAAAGCATTCATGTTCTTTTGCTGGGTTTAGTACAAACACATGAGACACCCTTAGATGTCCTGTATGTGTCTGGATTCCTAAGGAAGTGTGGAAAAACTCCAGGGAAGTTTGTTTCTACGTAAAGTCATTGTTAAATGTATGCCCCATGTTGCTGCTCCCACAGATTAGGGTAGAACTACAGTTTAAAGAGATGCCTTGGTTTGGTTTACGCCTTCCACAAAAAAATAAAAATAAATGTCAACTGCATGCAACTGAGACTTTTTCTTGTATTTAAATATGTTTTAATTAGGTTTCCAATATTTGCTTCCATGCTTGAGAACCGTTTGTATTTTTTTTGTGTTTTGTATTATATTTTGTAATACACAAATATCAAAGTACCAGAAAAGAAAAAAACTAACTTTAACTTTCCAGAAACCATATTTTTCTGAGCCCTGTTTATAGCTATTCCGCAAAAAAGTGTGGTTTACGAAGGCTGAAAACACAACCATTTTCCAGCAGCATTTACATTCTCAGATCATACCATCGGCATTTCCTGACCATAGGACTAGGCTAGGTTTAGTGTGTGTCAGGATGGCAGCTCTACATAAGTACTTTGTAAAAACTATGGCAAAGTGAGGAATGACATCTGAAAATGCAATTTTTTTTTGTATTTTCCTAATTTCTGCGAGTGTCAAACCGATTCCCTCTCTGCCTGTTTTCTCATATTTCACTCATCTGGTTGTTAGCCATTACTTTCTTTGATGTCGAAGCTGGAGAACAACAAATATGCCTTTCTATTTTTGAAATAGTTTCTGTCCAGTAAAGCCACACACAGAATTTTCCACAGTCTCACATTTCAAAACTGGATGTTCTGAACTACCACTTTGCTTAACTACATTTCACTTAATCTTTGTGGTACAGCCATCAAACGCTGTAAATGGTAGTCTACACATGGCTAAAATTTATTTTACTTTTACAATAGCGCATTTAAAAAATCTGTGGCTTTTTAATGATGGAATGTGTAAAGTATCAGTGTATGTAGTTCCTATAAGTACTATTGTTATTATTTAAGGTGTAAACTTGCTGATAGAAAACATCTAGAAGACATTCTCATTTGTGGTCCCCAAGCACAACCACTTCTATTTTCCAGTTCTTGTCACAAAATTACAGGTAAACTAATTTGCATACTATATTGTAGGTGGGCTTCTGCTTGAAAATGCTGGGAAGAAAGCATCAGAAAAGGGTTTAGAAACACTCATATAAGTCACTGCCACACATATTGTGGGTAAGGAGTAAATATAGAGTAAACAAGCAAATTTTGGGGTCCCTTAATTAGAAATACAAGTTTAACATTTCTAGGTCTTTCTCTTGGCAACTTTACTTTTTTCCAAAGGAAGGTAGCTCTCAATAGAACAAAACTATATATATAGAGAGCTACCTGCCTTTGGAAAAAAAGTAAAGTTGACAAGATAAAGACCTAGAAATGTTAAACTTGTACTTGGAGTACCATAAGCACAGCTGGCATAAAAGTCCCTTCTGTGGATTAATAAGTATGCAGTATGCATACTGTAAACTCAACTTTATATCTAACCTCCAGTGCAGAATCACTTCAGGTTACTGCAAGAAGGACTATAAACATGGTGATGTAGGAATAAGGGATGGTCAGATTTTTAATTCTCCTGACCAATGAAAAAGTAAAAGTCGCACGCTTTGAACTGATGAGGCACCCATGGCTCCAATATCTCCATTCGCAATCATTTGACAGCAGTCTACTACCACTTTAAATCTTCGCTTCGTGGGGGAAATGAATACGTGGGGGAAATGAATTTCCCCCACGTATGTCCGGGAAGGAACCGACCCTGGTAAGCCCTTCTCTTTCCCTCTCCTTATCCACCCTAGACTTTCCTACTCTTTCTTCTTCTTCTCTCTCTATTCCTTTCCAACTGCCCTTCTTGGACGCGACCTTTAATGTTTAATGCTTACAGTGGTTTAGTACGCTTTCTCACAGCGCAAATGGCGGTTCTGTGATGCAGTGACTCACAAAAGAACATCTTCCTCTGTATAACCTTGTAAGTATGTTGGGCCCCCCAATATTAATGGGGGCCCTAACATGTACTTGATCTGTTCGATTAAAGAGTCTTCTCCAACAGTGATACCTGTCATTTTGCTTAAACATTGAGCTCTGCCTATCCCAATACAGTTTTGTAACCCCTTGAATTGCATGCTGTAAGTTGTATCCATGTGCTCCCACTGTCTTTGCAAATGTGTGCTGTTATGTCAAAATCAATAAACATCTTTGATTTAAAGAAAAAGTAACAGTACAAGTAGCCCTAAATATGAAGAGAAGCCTAAAGTAAAAAAAACAACAGGTTTTCATTTTTTTTTTTGGTGTCAACACGCAGGATTGTAGAAGACTGATGTGTCGGACCAACACAGAGACACATTTCAATGTGAAAGAATGTATCACTTCATTTAAAACGTGTGTCTCTATATCTGTTTACATTGTAGTCCTTTATGTTGGGGCAGTATACTGTCCACCTGGTTAGGGAATGTAACATAAAAGGTCTTCACAAAGTAAAGTTTATATTCACTGGATGAAAGAGTGCAACAATTAGTGAGCAAGAGAAACTTTGGTTCATAAGAGATGTGTCACATAGTTATCCCAATCACTTAAATAATTTGTGCTTCTAAATGTAATCTTAGCTATTTTATTAGCTAACTTTATTTTGTAAGGTGCTTTGATGTTAAACAACTCATATACAGTATACAGTATGTTTGAAAGTTGAAGAATAATGTATAGAGGAATATATACTCTTGCAGGTAATCTTGGTTAATTAGTAAACTAGAGTCATTGGCAGAGACCTTCTTGGCACTTGTGCCTCTACTGATGTTCCTAGAATGATATGGCCAAGCAAGTCACACCACTGTATCAAAGCAGGAATACCTTCCATGGGTATTACTGTGTGGCAAGCCTAGAACATAAGAAAAAATAATGTGTATGTCACATGTGTAGTTTTTAACCTGTTATAGAAATTGCATTTTGAATAAGTAACAAATGGATCTTATTTAGCAAAAGCGTTTTCCCATAACTGGTACAATGAAAAGTGAACGTTTATTGGCTGCTATGTACAAGATATTTTCCCTTCAGATCGGTATTCATACACGCAGCCCTTTCTTCGGTTAGACATCATGGATGTGAAAGGCCATGTACTCACAAATCTTCAGAAAGCACGCACAAGCTTATAGACACAAGCATTTTACCAACACATTTGCATGCGTTGTTTATGCATTTCCTATGTAGTAGTCACATATATCTGAAATTAT